TGCCCTGTCTTCTGATACTGCTTTATGTCTTACATTTAGAGCAAGGCCTCCAGAAATCCCAATGGAGAGGTTCTAGTTCATCAGGTTCCTGGCTAGGAGAGATAAACAGTGAACACACATCCTGTCCTCATCATGAGGTCATCATTATTTTGTCCCTGGCTCTCTTCACATTTTATTTTTTCCTGTGTGATTTAGAAGCCATAGAGGGTTCAAAGTTGAAAATCAAGTCCCAGAGGTGGACCATTTGGAGAGCTTTTTCCTCTCACCCTGTGATCTGTGAGAGTACTGCCTACCTAGTTCTATAATCCACCAGGCCACAGCCAGGATGCTAAATTTTGCAGAATGAAATCTTTCCAGGACTCCAAATCCTACTGTGGCCTTGTTCCCCTCACTCTCTGCTCCCTCTCTCTCCTGATTAAGCATTGACTGGAAGTGTAACAAGGGAGATAAATCACCTCACCTGCCCATTCTAGTTATCAAGGCCCAGTTCTGGCTTAGTCACTGAAAGTCTATCTCATTCCTTCTCTTTTGCCAACTGCTCCACCTGGCTAGAATTTGACATGTTTCAAGAAGTATCTGGTGACTCTTATCCCATTAAAACGGGGGGTGGGGCTCACTTGTTCTCTTCCTGTGGAATTCTATCACTGTTAAGACTCAATTCACACTCCCATTTTCCTGAAAGATTGTTTTAAACTTTTTCTTATCTACGAAAATACACAACTCCTCCACTATCCTTATTGTCAACTGATGGTATTATTTGTAGTTCATTCAGAAAGATGACCTTCCACAGACTTCCACATCACACCTCCCACATTCCCACCTATTGATGGATCAACATTTCAGGTTCGTATGTGAAACCACACCCTGGATGTGGGCATAGATAATAACCTCTCCATCTGCTCCACATCTTGAACTTTTTTTCTCTGCAGCATCATCCACTTTTCACTGGCTACTGATTCATTCCAATCAAGACCTTCTCTCAGTATACAAAAGTAAAATCTCTTGATTCTACTTTCTCTTACTGACTTACATCAAATTTCTTTGTTCTCCTTTGCAGCAATCTTCTTGAAAAAGTTATCTGTACTATCCCCCATTCCTCTCTTCTCATTTCTCTTAGCAATTTTTCTGCTACTATAACTGAATACCTGAGACTAGGTGATTTATAAAGAACAGAGATGTATTTGGCTCATGTTTCTGGAGGCTAGGATGTCAGATAGCATGGCACCAGTATTTGACAGAAGCAGAAATGTACAAGAGCATGAGAACAAGCACAAGTAAGCAAGATAGGGCCAAACTCACTTTTATAACAAGACACCTTGTGATAGCTACTAACCTGTCCCTGTGATAAGGATGCTAATCCATTCCTAAGGGCAGAGCCCTCATTTGTTAATCACTTGTTAGTGGGTCACATCTCCCAACACTTATGTATAGGGGATGAAGTTTCTAGTGCAGATACAGATATTCCTCATTCAATGACCTACATGTTTAATGACTGTTCAGACTTACAACCCACATTCAGACTTCCAATACAAGAATGTGAGTGGCAGTGTAGCCCTATGGTACCATCTTCTATAAAATAGATTCCAACCTTTGCTGATTGTACTGTATACTACTGTAGTTTTATGTTCTTTACAGTACTACATATGAGTTATGCAAACAAAAGCAAAGTCATCAAGTTGAGTTTCCTTTGACTATTTCTTTGTTCTGAATGTTATAATTTATACAATATATTCAATTCCTCATTTAGTGAATAATTCATTTAACAAATTGGAATGGAACTTGGTTGTTATACAAGGAATGTCTATACTTGGGGGGATATATTCAAACTACAGAATCATTCCTGGAAGCAGTCTGTATGCCCAGCAATAGATGACTGGATAAATAAATGTGGTATTTCTGTATAACGGAATACTACTCAGCCATAAAGAATCACAAATTTCAGGCATTTGTAGGAAACTAAATGCACCTGGAAAATATAATGTTAAGTGAAATAAATCAGACACACAAACTTAAATGGTGGTATCTTTCATTTGAGTGAGGCAAAACACAAAGAAAATGACAAAAGATGCATAGAAAGAGACAAGGGGACAGATCCCTTCATAGGGAAGCACTCCCAGGGAACAAGAGTGAAGGCTGAGGAGGAGGGGAAGGGGGAATGAGAGGAATAAAGATGCACCGCGTAAGGATCCTAATAACAGCAATCAGTGTAAACATTACATACCAAAACAAGAACTAAGACAAATAATATCAACAAGTACAAAAACGGTGATAGGGGAACCAGAGGACGGGGAGGGGAGGGGAGGGGAGGGGAGGGGAAAAGACTCAGGAAAAAAACGCTGTGATGTGTTCATGTCACCACTTCCTGAGATGACTGTAAACTGCATGAAATGCAGATACACACTACTAAAGTAAAATTTTAAAAAATAAAGTACAGAATCCTTATCTCTTCAACCCACTACAACCAGCACCACCACAACTCTACTCCACCAAAACTTCTCTTGTCGACATCACTAACGACTTCTGCATTGTAGAACTCAGTGGTCAGTTTTCGGTACTATCCTTATGTAACCAATCAGTAGGATTTCATCCGGCCACTCCCTGTTCCCTTCCTAACAGTCTCTCTTCACTTGGCTTTCAGGACACCGTGTGAAGAGCTACCCTAAAACACACTCTGTGTTTTTCTTCTGTATCACCAGTAATGTTTCCATGTCCTTTGCTAGGTTTTGCTCTCTGCTGATGAGACTTTCATGTCTGAATACCCCAGGGTTCAGACCTTGGTCCTCTTCTCTATCTGCCACTGCTATTTTGATGATCTCATTGAGTCTCATTGTTTTAAATACCATCTGATTCCGACATCACTCAAATATATATTTCAAACACAGAGCTCTTGTGCAAACACCAAACTCATACATCTCCTGCCTCCTCCACATTTCCACTTCTGCATCTATATTCATATCAACCCCTTGTGGCCAAAACTGAACTTGATCTTCCTTATACCCCAAGGAAAATACCAACTGCCTTTTTCACCTCTGTCAATGGTAACTCCATCCTACCAATTAGCTCATGCCAAAACCTTGCAATTATCTTTGACTTCACTTGTTCATTCCATACATCTACTATGTCAGCAAATACTTTGGCTCCAGCTTTCTAAAATATCCAGAATTAGCTAGTTGTCATTCCCTTCTTTCCTAACACCCAGACACAAATAACTTTCATTTCATTTGGAGTGTTACAGTAGCCTACTAACAAGACCTCCTGCCTTATCTTCCAGCAGCCTACTTACAAACCAACATCTGGAGGATTCTCAGAAAGTAAGCCCAACCACCTTTCTTCTCTACTAAAAACCTTGTGATTACTCCTATTTCACTGGAATAAAAACTCTAGTCCTCACAAAGGCCTACAAACCACTTCCTGATCTCTCTCTCTCTCTCTCTCTCTCTCTCTCTCTCTGCCCACCAGGCCCCTTGCCCTTCTTGTTCCTCAAACATACCAAGCTTAGGACCTTGGCTCTAACTGTCCTGCTTGTCCAAATGCTCTTCTTCTGGCTCCTTCTAGGCCAGTGTTCCCTCCTCTTTTGTATCTTTGCACAACCTCACCCCTTAATGCGGCCCACCCTAATCACACTATGTAGATCTGCAAGCTCCATCCCCACTGTAGCAACACTCCTGATTCCTTTCATTATTTTCTCCATGTCTTTACCACTTTCTAACAAAACTTTCTACTTGATTTATGACACTTCTTAGTTATACTCTGCCTTCCTCAGTTAGATGTAAGCTCCATGACAATAGGGAAATTTGCCCTTTTATTTCATTAATGAATTCCATGTGCCAAGAACAGTGCCTGGTACATAGCAAATAATAAATATTTAGAGAGCGAATGTGGCTAACTGCACTTAGGGTCATAAGGAAATCAATCTTGCTATCATATAATGGAGGCCATGTGATTTTTGTATTATTGATAGTAGCCAACCAATGATAAATGCTGTCTCAAATGTAGCTAAACAGAAGGAAGCCCAGCGACTTACGAGAGAACCTGGCAGAAAATTCTGTCACTAGAACAAGTTTGTATCTTGATTCATTTAAACCATTCAAAGTCAGCAGTAAATTCAACATCATAGTTGGTTCCAGCCTTTTCTTTCATCATCACATGGAAATTTTTGCTTTGGCCATGAACTGCCACAGCGCTGAAAGGGCTTTGATCCTGTTTCTGGTCTTCAATCCAGGTCATTAGAAGTTTCTTCACATCAGACACAGGCCCAGCTCAAGTGTTTGTCACTCTCAGTGCCTTCAATTAGAAGATCCAAGGCCGAAGATATAGCTCATGGAACAACCACCTGCCTGGCAAGTGCAAAGTCCTGAGTTTGATTCCCAGTACCAAAAAAATAAATAAAATAAAATAAAATAAGCAGATTTCTTAACCATTCCTTTCACTTTGTTCTTGTTGTTTAAAGTTGTGGCTACAGTAGAATGAGATAGGCTGACTCCTAAGCATGCTTATCTCTGATTTTCAAACTTCATTGTCCTTAATCACTTTCTAATTTTGTCTCCTGATCAATCACTTGATGTGGCTTCTCACTGGCCACACTAACAATGGATCCTATATGTTCAGGCTCATGATGAACAGATTGCTAATTAAATCATGCTTAAGAGAAGACACCATCAAGAGATGCAGTGAACATGAGATTCATGAGACTGCTGCTGGGATATTGCAGCATATGGCTTTGCAGTAAATTTTTACAAATAGGAGTATATTTCAAAATAATTGTAAAAACTACATAAGCCAGTTACACAGTCATTATCATGCATTATATATGGTACATAATTGTGATATACTTCTATACAACTGGCAGTGCATTAGGTATGTTTACACCATATCCACAATGCACTAGTAGTATGCTATGTCACAGTGGTTATGACAACACTGGGGATGGGAAATGTTCAGCTCCATCATAATCCTGTTGGGGCCCCTGTTGTATATCCAGTCTGCCATTGACCAAAAAATCAATCATTAGGTGGAATGTGACTATATTGGAACCGCTGTGGTATCCTGAACAAGGTTCCAGTTTTCTCCAACCCCCATACTGACTTTGCTAGGATTTTTTTGCTTAAATCCTCATCAGGTGAGTAATTTGAGTATATCTTCATTCTTTATACATAAAGCTGCTAGTTAATACACAAACCCATCAAGTCCTTGCTGACCACCTTCTAACTGCCTACCAAACACTCAGCTTGACACCAAGGGATAGGATAATGGGTGAGGAAGAATATCAAGCTCTCAAGCCAGCGTGACAGGTTGGAATGCCAGCTCTAACAAAATCCAATTGTATAAGCTTAAATAAGTTACTCTGCCTGTACCTTCATTTATTTTTAATGGAATGATATTAGTATGTATATTTAAATGTATTAGCATTAGAAGTTACACGTAGCATGCTTAGAACACTATCTACAACATATGTTCATATTGAGAATATTCATATTCTCAATATATGTTCATTCCTACCTACAGCCGTAGATATACAATAGATGCAGATGTAACAAAAACAATATAGTGAGAATATTTAGAAACAATAACTGGAAACAAGTTAATATCGATCACTTATTTGCCTCATACCCCAAAACAAAAATCAGTTGTGAGGTATTTTATATTTTTCTTTTAATATTATCTTCAAAATCCAAAATCCATTACATACGAGGTGGTGCCTGGGAATCCTTTCTCCTGGGAGAAGTGCTGCTGTCAGAGTGCTGGTTCAGTGTGGCAGTCTCACTCCGGTGGGACGTTTCACTAAATGTGGAGAATATCTGCAGTTGTATGATGCAACCACCAGAACGGGGCACCCTGAAGACCAAAAAGTCATTGTTCTCAGAGAACCAGAAGGGTAACACAGAAACTGCTCAAGTGAGAACCACTGAATCCTAGAATGAGGTGCACATGAGTGTCCAAGCAGTGAAATAATGAAGATAAGGGATATTCCCACCTTGTTTAGTCATCAAATGGTTTGTCTCTTTGAGGATATAAAAATAACTAGTTTTTCAAGAGCACGTACAACATGTCAGTTATCGTGTGAAACCCTCGACACACATAATTTTATTTAAAACTCATGACAACCCTATAAAATCAGCATTACAATAATATCCACTTTATAGAAGAAGAAAAAGGACTCCCAGATTGACTTGATAATTTGCTCATACACATCCAGTTGTTCAGGTTTGAATACAAGGCAGATGACTCCAGTTTTGATGGCTCTGTGCTTTTAGTCTCATATCGCAGAGTCTGTGATGGAAGATGGAAACCACAACTTGAATACTTCAAAGATTTGAATGTGGTTCATGGGTTGGAGACTTGGTCCTCGATGTGGCGAGGTAAGACGTGATGAAACCTTTAACAGGTGGGGCCTAGTGGGAGGTTCCTAAGCTGCTGCAAGGAAGCACTTGGAAAGGACAGTGGGGCACCTTAATAACTCTGTGGCTTCCTGTTTTGAGGTATGATCTTTCACTCACGTACCTACTCCTGTCATGACACCCATTAGCTGACTCAAAGGAGCCATTCAACCTTTGATTTTGAACCTGCAGAAACATGAACTAGATAGACCTCTTTTCTCTGTAAGTTAACCTGCCTCAAATATTTCCTTGAAGTGATGAACAACAGACCAATATAAACACTGAGGGTAAAAAGTTCTCCTTCTAACATAAGACTCATGCTGACATTGAGAGCACAGGTATCACTACTTGGATGGTGTACGGTGGAGGTTGACAGTGTGCGGTGTCAGCACAGGACAGGACAGGCTCTGTGTTAGAGAACAACAGAGGACTTTGAGCAGCAGGAGCATGAGAGGTTAGGGAGGCATAGCTGGATGGTTCAGTAGCTCTTAGTCTACCAGTTCTGACTCATGTTCTCCTGCTCAGACTTTGAAGTCCTTTCCAGAATGTTCACTTTGTTTTCAGCTGTTTCTCTTTTCCCAATTTAATGCTACCTCTGTAGAGAGCCTAGTGGACAGTTGAGATGTTAGCAAAGACCAGAAATAGATTTGACAACAGCAAAGCATCAGAAAGCTCTTAAAATTGACCAAGCTAAGAAAGAAAAAGGGCTGGTGATATAGCTTAGTGGCACAGTGCCTGCCTGGCAAACATAAGGTCCTGAGTTTGATCCCTGGTACCAAAAGAAAGAAAAGATTCTGGATACTGGTCTGAATTATTTTGTTAGACTTGTTTTCTGTTTGGGAGGAAGAAGGATGTAGAAGAAGGGGGGAAGAGGAGGAATTAAAAATTTCTTAATTGTATATAATTCAATAAAAACAAGGATAAAGTTGACTGTGGTCTCCCCATACAGCCACACAATTCCAATCTTCAGAAACTACTGTGCTGACAGGCTGAGGACTATCCTTTTCATCACCATCATTTTTCCCACAGGCAACCATCAGAGTGCAGTTATAGCCCTCAACTGGGAGAACAGAGTCCTTGAGAAAGAATGCTTTCTTAGTTACTTTCTCATTTCTGGGACAAAGTACACAACACCTACAAGGTAAAGAAGGAAAGATTTATTTTGGTGCACAGTTCGTAGAGGTTTCAGTCCACAGTCAGCTGGTTCCAAGCCAGAAGGGTATGGCCAAGAAGGAACAGTTCAGGGCATTGTGGGCAAGAGGCAGCAGCAGGGAAAGTCCTTCCTCTTTTCCCTTTTGATTCCATCCAGACAGCAAGCCTATTGGTTGGCACCACACAGGGTGGATCTTCCCTCTTCAATAAATCCATCACCCATACCTAGCACTGTGCTAAACCAATCGGTGGACTAATCCAGTATGGCACACATATGATCCAGTATCATGACCCCATGATCCGGTCACTCCCAAAAGACTCACCTATGAGTGATGAGGCTTTGTGGGGACATCTGATATAAGCCATAACAAATGAATTCTCTAAAGGGGGTCTCAGCACAGCAGAGTAGGGATAAAGTTCCACATCTCCATCTTGAAGATGCCCTGAAGAAAGTTTGAGCCAAATACAGCTATAACAGGTAGGTCAGTTTTTATATCCCATTCATTTTTTAATAGGCAATATATTTACATGGCTCCAAACTTAAAAGTGTGTAAAAAGCCTAGCTCTACAGCTCCCCTGACCTCCTCCACCTTATTTCACTAGATAACTCCTTTTATTAGCTTTCAGTGTATTTGCTAATATTTCTTTTTGTAATCACAAACATGCATGAATATATATTCTTATTTTCTGGTCCAGATTTATTTAAATAAAATATTATTCACAATAGCCACATAGACCAAACAAGTCCTCTGAATGTCTTTATCCCCTTTTGTCTTTTTATCATTGGGACAATGGCATCACCAAAAAATTTCATGGGTATCAAGCAACATAGTTTATGCAATCAATAAAGTAATAAATGCTCCAAATATGTCATTCATATTAAATCATTATCTTTTATTTATATTTTAGACTTCAATAATATGAGCAAAAGTCTATCTATTCATATTCTGCTTTCCCACAACACTCAGACTTCCCAATAATACAGGAAATCATGAATAATTTAGGGGAAAATACATATTGTCCCCTATTTTTAAAAAGTGAATTTTAACACAAGCATCCAGGCTCCTGAACAGTACAATTATGCAATTTAATGTGAAGATGAGAGAGTTAGAGCCAATATTCTATGTATCCCTATGATATAATTTGCCATAATTTCCCCACATGACAAATCTTGTGGAAGACAAGCACTTTGTACTAGTGTTAATTCAAAATCCAGTGTATAGAAAGAATTTCTTTTAAATAGCATCTCTAGTATCTATAAAACCAGGATAGCTTTAGTATGTAAATGAGCAGAACTTGTGAATAATCATGCTTCAAACAGCATAGCTTCTATAACTTATGAATAGCTATAAAGAAATTATACCAGTCTACTAATATTACTTCATTTAGAGTGATATTTTTAAATCTCATACTTTGTAGAGCAATACATGTATAGATCTGTTCTTGATTTTATGTATTTCATCAGAAGTATCAATACGATTCTACAATTCAATAATAATTAACATTTATAAAATGTGCCCAAAGAACAGAATATGGCAAGACCATTCCTATGGGATCTCACATGCATCTGGTGCCATAAAAGTCCCTGTTTTAACATACATATAATTTAATCAACCAAACTCCTATACAAAGTGGAAATCAGGCTGAGGAAGGTTTGAATGAAAAAAACTAAGAATAAAATCAAGATTGGTTTTGTTCTAAAGCTCATCCTGTTTTCAATCACTCAGTGTCAATATTTTTCAGTGATCTTTAGCTATGGAGCTGTGAAATCAAACAAGTTAAATGCTTCCAAAACAGGGACAGCCACAGAATAGATGTGCTCTTTGTGAAATGAAGAAATAAGGAAGAAGAAGGGAATATCAGGCACCAGTCAAGCCTGAAACTAACAGGGCAAACAAGCTCAAGTATTAAGGCTCAAGAATAATACCTGATTGGATAGCTCATCTTCCCGATACACTGAGACATAGACTGGCCTTGTTCGCACAACGCTTAACACATTCCTCACATTTAGAGGTACACCTCGACAGCGCTTTCAAGCTAGAATTCTGTGCCACTAACTTGCCAGCCAGGGTTACACAGGTCTACTTCCTAAAGCGAAAGATTTGATATCTGAGGGACCACGTTGGTTCTTTTAAAAAGCATGCACTTAAATGGGATACTTAGTGTGGAAAGGGTGCTAGAAAAGGCCGAAGTGTCACAGCATCTAACAAATAGAGTTTTAGTCTGAGGAACCTGAGAATAAGAAACAAATCTGGGCCTGTGAGGGCATCATTAATGCTGGAAAAGGCTGCTTGAGGGTGCAGGGACCATCCACTCTGCTAGAAGGCAATGCCCTGGCTCTGGGAGAACAGTAACCCAAGATCTAACCATGGAAAGAAGGGCTTGAGCAGGAGAAATAGTACACAGAATGGGTCTTTGTCTCAGCAGAAAAGCCCAGTTTGTGAACTCAGGGCAACTTAAAATTACCTCATAGTGTGGGAATATAGCTCACAGAGTCTAACTTTTAATGTTAGAGCTGGCCTAGCATCCAGCACGGGGCTATTTTGAGGTCTTGTGGCCATAGTTATAGGAAAGGAAGACTGCAGAGGCTGAAGGCCAGGTCATGCCAAACACCTCTGAGTCCCACAACTACAGAATTAGGTCTCCTGAATTTTGTAAAATTTTTATTGGGTAAAGGGTATAGAAACTGAGTATTGAGGATACAGCAGTAGTGTATTAAGGTCAGTGTGGGTGTATGAGGCAGGGAAGATTGAAGTCCAAGAAGGGGAATAAACATCTTTATAGAAGATGTTAAAAATAATGGCTTTGCATGTGGTAGCAAATATTACTGTTGAATGGAGTCAAGTAGTTGTACATCTTAATTCTTGCTTACAAGTCCTATTCAGATATATTGATACATAAAAATTACTTACAACTAATTAAGCTTCTATTTAGAGCACCCTCCCTAAAAAATACTTTACTCTTTTTAATAATCATGGTGGGTAAATTCAAAAGGTATACTTCTTAGGAAAATGATACAACTGCTTTGGATGATTTTTTTAATTATGGTATCTTCCCCTTTTCCTGCCTCCTTTCTTCTGTCAAATAGCTTTGTATACATTGCCTCCAGCAGAGGATGTGGCAGGCAGAAAGCGAGAATAGTTTGGTCGGGTGTGTAGCTCAGTAGCAGAGCACAAGCCTAGCATGAGTGAAGCTCTAAGTTTAATTCCTAGCAAGACAGGAAGAAAGAAAGAGAGAAAGAGAGGAAGGAAGGAAGGAAGGAAGGAAGGAAGGAAGGAAGGAAGGAAGAGAGGGAGGGAGGGAGGAAGGAAGGAAGGGAGGAAGG